TCCTGCCAGCTCTGCGATGGACCTACTGCAGGACACAGCTGAGTCCATCAGACAAGCTGGTGGCACCTTAGAGAAATATATTTAAGAAAGGGCAAAAATCACTGGGGGGAAGAAACGCAGAGAGAAGAGTGGTGGGAGGCAGAGAGAGAGGAGGAGGAGGGAACAACAAGGCCAGAGTAGTAGGAGGTGCTCCACACTGGAGCAGGTACAAACCCAAAGGGACTGCGGCCCCTGAAGGCCCACTCCAGAGGAAAAAGGTGAGAAACAAGGAGTGGCAGAGGGAAACAGATAAGCACTGACTTCATCCTTCTGTGCCACCCACTGCTGCAGAGACTGAGTGCAACCTGCAGCAGTAACATCGCAGGAGGAGATGCCTGGAGTGAAGGTGTGGAGACTAAGAAGGCCAAAGATCAGAATCTGAAGTTTAGACAGGAAAAGTGGGAGGAAAGGTGTTTTTCCTGCATGGTTAAATGTTTGTCCTTTTTTGTTGTTTCCCAATACTTTAAACAGTAATTAAATATTTATGCTACCTGGCAATAAATTAAATTCCCAAATTGTTTTGCCCATGACAATACCTGGTAAGTGATTTCCCTGTCTTTATTTCAACCCATGAGTCCTCTCACTCCTGTTCCTCCTATTTTCTCCCCCATCTCACTGGGAAGGCAGGGGAAGGAGGTGAGCGAGCAGCTGTGTGGGTGCTTGGCTGTTAGCCAGGGCCAACCCACCACATTTAAAATTAAAAGGGATGAATGGATCCAATAGCAAATTACTTTCATTGATTACCATTAGCCAAAAGTTTCTTTGCCGTGATCCAATCCATCTAGATTCTAAACGTGGACCTTTTACCAGGGAGAGAAATGGCAAAGCTTTTTAAGTAAAAAAAAAAATTCAGTTTGAAATCAACTGACTTACGGTGTTGCTGATGTAAGCAGGAGCCTCACAAGACATAAATGAATAGCTTCTCCTTCCTCTTAATTTGCACAAGTAAGAGACATTTAAAATAAACAAGTATTGCTGCTTATTGAAGACCAAGTTCCTGCTCTACAGTTTCTAAATAGGAAAGACTGGTTTATGTTACTTCTGTCATACGACTAATATTTAGGGAATGGTATATTCCCATTATGCAAATAGTCATGAGCCTGCCTCATGACAAATTGGATTTTTTTGAGAAAAATCTTTTTAGCGGGGGAAAAGAAAGAAATTTTAAAGTGAAAAGAGTTTTTTAAAATGTAGCAATTTAAAAATGAAACTGTTCCCCTTTATTTTTACACCTACAATAATAGCCTGGTTAGCCTGTACAAAGTGAAACCAACCCACTTTTGTTGTTCTTTTGGGCCAGGAGATATTTTTACTGTTATTTTGAACACGGTTAAAAGATTAACCCTCAAGAATTACCCATTAATAATGTTTATTTTTCCCCAATTAACATGGTGAAAAAAAGCTTCATAAATGGGGGGGGAGGGGGGCGGTGGAGAGAGGGGGAAAGAGGGAAGTAATCTAACCGGCTCTAATAGAGATACCCCACTAGCATTATTCACTGTAAACACAAAAAGTACAAAATAGCTTTAAAATCAAATACCATTATTGGAAAACAGATTTGAAAACAAAATGCAAGAATCATAAAATTAGGAGGTCTTACAAACCAGGAAAATATTTACCCTGGAAAGAACACTTGTACAATTAGGAAAAGAAGGATTATGAGCTACGTAGTGGTTATATGGCTGCCTGATTGCAAAGTACATGGATCAGAATATTCTAAAAAATGGACAAGTCAAAGGGCAAAGACATTTACAAAATAAGGCATATATATTAGCCAACTTTTTATCCCAATTCCAAAGATTTGATCACTTACTAATATCAATAAGCATACAAGGGAATAACTGACTTACTCCCCCATCAAGAAAAAAAAAAAAAACCAAAACTGTGAATAAGCTTAGCTTGGTGAAATATTTGAGGAAGATAATTTAAACTTCATAGGATTAGGCCCCAAATACAATGAAAGTCTTAAAATTAAGGATATGTGAAACGGCAAATAATTCTTAAGGATAAAAATATCTGCCTGCAGTACAAGAAGAGGCTAAGCGGGTCCTTAGAGGCTGGCAGAAAAAAAAAAAAATCTTGAACAGTGTAGAAATGTATATATTGTATTACAGCAATGCAAGAAAACCAGCAGTTTAAGCCACAAGGTATTCAGGTTCCTCTGCCTTGTGAGAGCAGAAAACTCTTGACCCCTTTCTTCCCTCCCCTCCTCCTTCCCTCTCCTTCCCCTTCCCTTTCGTTTCTCTAGCTCTTTCTTTCTCTCTTTCATAGGGACTCTAGGAAGGTTGTAAATTCTTGCTGTTAAAACAGAACACCATCGCTTTGCACACAGAAGCTAAGAGGCAAAATCCCAACATGATAAAATGAAAATTATCATTATTTCAAGACTGTAGTAATTCTCTTCATTTTCACCTTATTTTGTACGACATTTTAAGAGCATAAATAAATATAAAATGTTATTTCAAAAAGGCATTTTTTTTCATTTTCTTGCGGTACACATTTTCTTGTGGTACACCAGTATTAACTTCCTTTTAACATTCGAATGGTTTCTCAGTAATAGCTTCAGGGGTCTCATTATCTTTTGGCCTGAACTGGAGTATGTTGTAAGTACGTTTGAAGCGAATAACATGCTTTTTCAATCTTATCGGAATGTCTTTAAATAAGTTTTTAAGAAAGAACATTTTCCTTCTCTCTGTGCCTTTAGGTACAACACAACCTTATGTTTTTAAAGGATGGATTTTGTTCATCAGTGAAAAAGAACATATCAATCCCTCTGTCCAACATGCATTTTTCAGGGCTAGTACTTTACTACTATTATTAGACAACTGCTATAATAGACAACATATCTAGTTGTCTACTATATGAAACGGAGATGTGATGCTTCTTAGGTAGCTAAGAGTAACTTTTGTAAATTACTAATCCATGTCAACTGCTTCTAATTTTCTTCATCATAGTTGCCAGTTCTATCAGAAGTGCAGAATATAAACATTAACAAAACAAACAAAAAAAAGAGGACAAAGTAGCCTGCTAGCTTACTGACTCTGACTTCTAATTAAATAAATGTTTTAATACTAGGGATTCCTGCAGAAATCATGTTTGCATGCAATACCATACAACCACCAATCTGGCTAGTTTAAGACAATGTCAGAGAAAAACAGATCTGTCCAGCCTCTGCACCCTAAGATTTCCTTACGAGTAGGCTGATCAACTGATTCTTTAGCACGGTACAAAACCAGAAGAGGCCATTTTTACACCATTGCTTTTTAATTTAAAACATTTGTCCAGGATGCAAAAAATCCAAATCACTATCATTGTGAACTCAACGTAGTTCAAACTTGCATTCTCACAGCCCAGAGCGCCACAGCCACAATTCTTGTTAATCACTTCGTAACAATCCATCTCAAATGTCCCGTCTTCCTCCTATTGCTCTTCTCACCCTAAACTTCTCACATGAAATTAATTTTACTTCATTACTCCTCATCCCCAAGCTTCCTCTCATACAATCAAGATGCCACCCCACAAACTCTTCTGCAACCCTCATCTTTCTAAACCATGCCCTACCCTATTCCAAATCCCTTCCTTACTCAAGAATATCGTATTTATGTGCCATTGATCTAAACTCAGACTGAATACCTCTTGGATGCTTTACTTCTCCAGTTCTGCTTGCCCAGGTACTGCTATTATCACTAGCACTCTACCATTACTACTCTAGCTGCTGCTGCGCCTCACTGCTCGCCTCCTCGTCTTCTCTCCCCACACCATGGCCTCTTCCATAGGCCAGCAGTATACAGTGCTCCCCATCGGCGACTGTGGCTCTCCTGGTACTAAAGCAGCCTCAGCTGCGGGTCTGACAGGGATTTAACACAGGTCTGCACTTACTAAAATCCAGCTAGAGAGTCCCCTAAGGACAGAAGCAAAAAATATGTTTGTGAGAAAACAGGATGTATGGAATCCGTTTTATTAACAAGTCATTACAAAACTGCATAGCAAGCAATATGCGTGGTCAGATTCTGTTCAACAATTGTTTTGGTTAAATAGGCTTCTCCTCTTTCATCTTCCTTCTTCTTGTCTCAGTGTGATTGCCCAAATGCAGTCTTTCTGTTTAAGCCTGGCAGATACAACCTATTCACAAGTGATGATTTTTTCCTACCTTTTCTCTTTCTCTATTATTCCTTGCCATACTCTCTATCTCAGTGATTCCTCTTATAAACACTGTCTCCTCAGTAGCTGTGTTTACCCCCAGTTAGCAGTTTGGATGTGTATGAGATTACAAAGGAAAATATTAGATTTATTTAGTATCACTTAGAAAGTTAAAGTTAGATCTTGCAGGCTTCCACCCTTGAATCAAAGGGCTTTTGTCAGATTACATGCACTGCACACAAACCAGAGTTACTTCAAAACTACAAGCTTATTTCAGAACCTAACCCCCTCCCAAACTATTTAACAATTCATTTCCATTTGGTTCTTGGAACAGGGTCCATAATCAAAATTACATACACTTCTAACATTACTTTTTAAACAACGAAAGCTTAAGTGGTAAGAGAAAAAACACTGTTGCACAGCTGGAAAATGTTCTAGTTCATGATGCTCTCGCAATTCAAGTAAAGTTTATACAGTTCTTAACCCATTATAGGCAAAGAATGTTCTACTCCACTGCAGTACCTAATAATGAAGTTTGTTTTGTTACAAAATAATTTGCCACTATAGTTGATAGTATCTTACAGACAAGAGTAGACAGTATGAGCATCCTTTTTCCCTTTCTTATATAAAATACACTGGATTAAGTTAATGAGGAAAAGACAACACTGCATAAGTTATTACTTCTCATAATTGTTAATTTCCTGCCACGAAGAATTTCCTTTGAGCTGTGAAAGAATATGCATGCCAACTATACATGACCTCAGTGTTTACGATGAAACTATATACAAATTACACAATTTGGGGCAGGAGAGGCATTTTACCTTGAAGCACGGAATTGTTTCAGTTTCTGCCTTTAGTTTTCAAACAAGATGGCCGCATGCTTATTATCGGTAAATGGGTACAAAGTCCAGTCACATGACCTGAAACAGAAGGGTGGAGGGGAAGAAAGAAGGACAACCCTGAAAAAGACAACTTCATATTATACAATGCCGACAATATTTCTTGGTAAAACACTACTTCACTAGTAGGGAACAATCTCAACATGTTTTCATAATGCTTATATACATGTACATAACCAAGACACTTGTTTTAGTTTGTTTAGTTTAGCCTGTTAAGACTTTTCAAATGCTAGTGACTTCACATCATATTTTTGGAAAACAAGGGCAGTACCAGAATCTCAGGTGCATTTCTGCCTTCAGTACATGTGTTCCTGCAGAATATCTACATAGCAACTTCTGAGAAACTGCATTAAACCACCTTTTTAAGTATAATTTCAGATCAGTGGTTTTCAAACTGTTCCATGTGAGGCACAGAACTAGTTAGGAATTCTCTCTACATAAATACTGTACACCATGGCCCATCCTGGTTTGCTCAGTATGCAGTCTTTTAGAAACTGTATGTGACCCCAGAAAGTGACTGCTCCCAGGAAGTGCAAGGACCCTAATATGAAAAATCACTCATTAAACTTCAAAAAGTGCTAGCTAGTTTATGTATTATTCTCCTCCCTCCACCCCAATTTATGTTTTTTTCGTAAGGAAACTTGATCAGGAAAAGATGTATATCCAAAGATGTGCGACAACTGATGCCACCAAAACTTAACAGAATCCAAGCCTTAGGCTCTAAATATAAAATTTACCTTTCTTCCAGGCAAAATATTTAAGCTAACAGTGACTGAGGGAGAAATCAAACTGAACCAATGTTTTTGAACAGCTGTCTAAATGCAAAGTTTAAATTATGTTTTTCTGTGGTTCAAGAAATCAGTACAGCTTGTTCAGAGCTTTTCTCCTGTGTTTTTCCTCCCTCTACTTTAAAATAACTTTGTACTGTAACAACTTTGAAACAATTTTAAGTTGCCAACCTTTTCTCTGTCTCAAATACAAATAGGAAATGCTCGCTCTGCCTTAAAAACTTGAAAAAATCTGCACCTACCGTCTTAAAGAAAGCATTAACAAGTGAAAATGAAGACAATTTTTAAAAAATCTTGTCAACGTCCCTAAAATAACCAGCTAGTTTTTAATCTATTTGATAATCACATTTGTGGATAAATCATATTTTAGAAAGTACTGAGAAAAAATCCTTCATCTAGACATAGGAAGCAGTACAAAAGATATGACAGATAAGATGCAACATCCACTGACAAAAAACAAAAATATTTCTACTTCATTAGGTTCCTTATGTACATACACTGCAATTCTTCAGCGATGTAAACCAACAACTACTTACTTACCATAAATTTTACTAAAAAAAATTATTAAGCAACATTAAATAAAAAAACAGTGATCATGTAAAGAAAGCAGTGATAAACCAAGGATATGTATGCCAAAATACAGAGGGATTGAACGAGAAGCAGACTTGTCTGTGCTAATTAATGTGACAATTCAAGGCATTTGATATGGGAAACCAAAATGCAGCATAAAAACATCTATTCATTCTCACTAAAACAATATGCAAAAAATTACAAGGAGTTAACGAGTGAAAAACCAAACATTCTCCCCCTCTCCTATCCAAATCTGAACACTGAATGAAGGGTTTTTCTTCATTTGGGTTTCTTCTCCATGCTTGATTAGAAATCACTAAAGGGTGCAACAGTTACTCAATGACTTCAAAGCATAAGACTGAAAACTGAAATGCTAACAGAGAAGCTGCATTTAGGCTATGGCAAATAGGGTACTACATTATCCGGTAACATAGTCTCCAATGATATGGAAAAGATCAATAACTTGGTTTTTCTTCTATAATTTGTTAGAAACTTTTTTTTTTTAAAATACTTTGGTCTTCTGGTCATCAAGTGCAAGACTTATTTATATATGAACATTCATATGTATAACAGAGTTCAACTCACCCAGTTGGTAAAGGAAATTATATTTAATAGTGTTTGGGAAGAAAAGGATATAGAAGGATGCATGACTGGATTTACTGGAATCCTAGTGGAAGGTCAGACCCTCTAGTGAGGCAGACATTTTGTCTCAGTTCATCAAAACATCTTTACCAAAGCTTTAAAAGTTTAGGATCAAACTTAATCACACCACTAATTGTTCATTTACCAGGTACAGTACATACATCTTTGTAAAAACAAAACATGAGAAAGAACACTGCTCTCTCAGACTGGCTGAATGTTGGTGCACATCTAAATGCTTATGCTTCCACATAAATCTGCTAATACACACTTGCTTTTGACAGGGATTCAAACAAAATACACCAATAACAGAGCTAAAAATGGAACAGAGGATGTTTGTTAACTTCTCTTATCATAGTAAAACCCAAGGAGCTTAGCTAATTTCAGAAGGTATTTTTGGAAGTCACACATATCCAGAATTAAAAGATATATTTCTGCTGTTCAGAGGGACTTTGTACATACAACTTGGATTATTGGATGCTACAGGATATTTATTCTGCAACAAATCTTCAGTGAAAAAACATGTTTTAACTTCATTCATTCTTTGGCTTGGTCCAAAAACACCAATGACAAAAAATTCTGTAGCTGCATAGTTTTCCCGAAGGATGTAGGAGAATCACTGTATCAGTTTGTGAAATGTGTGCATTGCAGAGGACTTTGTGCAGTTCTGAGGAAGTCACAATGACTTTTATGTATGCAACTCAGTGACATGGTCTAATGATTTCGGTATTTTTTTTCATGGTTGAGCTTAACTTCTGTTATATAGGAGTTTAGCTGGATGAACACAGCAGCTATGCCATGTAAGAATAAAGAGCTAGGTTTTGCAGCCACTATAGCCAGTTTCTGGCTATCAAATAATACTTGCCTAAGCTACCTCAAGTCACACACAGAACAGGATTTTTAAAGAAAGATGAGTTTGAAAGACAGAAAAAATGTGTCATTGGATCTACTAGATATTGTATTTTATTATATTTCCTGGATGTGATGAAGTTGGAAAAAGCAGATGAACTTGCAGGTTCCCACCCATTGCAGGCCCTTCAAGAAGCAACAATCACCCAGCTAAATATATTGAAAAATTGCAAGGGGGCAACAGTTAACTCTATTTCCACCAACTTTAAAAAGCTTTAGTGCAGACACCACCCCGGAAGATGCTGGTAGAGATTCAGTGACAGGAGTGCCATCTACTGAGTGAAGCCCTATGCTTCCTGAAGCAAGAAGGCTTTCCTCCGAGCTCTGCAACTCAAAAATACAGGCTAACCCTACCTCATTTCATGACCACAACACAAGGTGGCTATTGTCTGGATGGCACATCCTACTTAATTAAGATATACAACCATCTTAATATTAGAAGTCTTGTTAATAGCTTTTGGAAAATTGCATTATTCTAACTTTTCCAGATGAGAGCATAATTGTTGGCCTAAGGAAAAAAAAAAAAAAGTGAGGAACAACATAGGATATCCTAGCAGAGCAAAAGATTCACTGAAAGATTTAGAAAACTTTAGGCATAATGTCTGAACAGAAATTTTAAGCATATACAATTCTGTCTCAGTGCAAAGAATTAATCTAGATCTTGAACATCATTTGTGATCTTACCTATATGTAAGCACATGAAATGGAAATCCAGGAATCTCTGAATCCTGCAGTGTCACTGTGAGCAATCATTCACCTTACAGAACCCAAGATGAAATGTTTGAGATGCACTTAGTAGGTGGAGCTAATTGGCTTCAGAAAAAAAACAAAGAAAAAAACCCCCAAACCCCCCCAGGTTCTCACTGGCTGGACAGCATTGGCACTACAGTCTTCCTCATAGGTATCCCTAGTACCAGAATTCAGAAGTGGTGTTTCTTATTTTACAAATATTTTATGAGAACAAGTATCAGTTATGGATCTTTTCCTAAGAAAACTTTAGTTCAAAGTATAAAATAAGAAATAAGGCTTTGCTATTTTCTCATACATTTTGTTACAACACACTGAACCTAATTCTTCAAAGCATGTAAATATATGCTTAACTTAAAGTAGGTGGACAACCTAATAAAGAGACTATTTCCTCACCCAAAAATTAGTCAGTGCCCTATATGCTAGTGCTCACAAAGCATATTTGATATTGTCTGTCCACAACTGTATACCACCAGTGCATGTTTGCACATGTCAGGAGGAAGAGAGGGCAGTAGCTTCAGAAGGGATGAGAGGACTTCCCAACAGGGAATTATGACTTGGCTGGGAGGTACAGTAACTCCCGCAGCCAAAGAAAAGTCCCAACTCCCCTAGTCAAGAACAGCCTATATATCTAATATAACTCAGCTGCAATAGGGACTCAAGAAGCAGCTGGCTAACTCTGCTTGGCACAGCCCCCTCTGCTCTCCCTTCCCACCATTTCTGCTTTCTGATCAGAGTTGCTACTTCGTATGGTGTTATGACTTCTCTGGCTAGATGCACCTAGACACTCAAACGGCTAGAATCACTGCAAAAAAAGAAAGGCTGTGCTACTGGACAATAGCTGGCCTCCAACAACTACCTAGGCTGATAGCTTGTTTACCCTGACATTCTGGGCTGAGCATCAGCGAGTTCCTTGATCTCGACTCTTCGGGGTAGGTACAAAATTCTAAGGGCATACACCCACAAAGTAGGCGGAATGTCTGAGCTCTGGAGATTCAACTCTCCAGCTTGTTGCATGCTGAGTAGGGAACATGCATACAAAACCTGAATCTGGAACATTACAGGTCAGTGATCTTGTGATCCACAGAATCACGATTCCTTCTCTCTCTTTTCCATCTGAAGATGTAATTACTGCAGCCTTTGAAGCGGTTGAGCTTAGGAACACAAGGCTGAACAGGACCACTGGAAGGGTGACTGCATTCAGTTCCACCCTTATTGCCAGCAACCAAGTGATAGATGTCTTGCTCAGGAAGGCTGACAGAATGTGTATTCCACATGGCACTACAAATACAATTTTTTTCCTATAATCTGTAACAATCAAATTGTATTAAAATGAAAAAATATAGCCATAAAATTCACATGCAGACAAGAAAAAACAATAGCACAACCAATATTATAGGCTTCTGCAATAATGGAAAGTTAGATAAATAAATAAAAATTGCAAATAATCCTATAGAGGAAGCCCGTACCACACAGGAAAAGCAAAACAAGATACAACCTTTCAGGTTTTATCTGGGGACACAATCCATTCTGCCCTAATCTTTGATAGTTTAAGGCTAAGTGGGATCCACCCATTAAGCACTTCAGGATTTCAATTACAATGACACCATGAACCACCTGAACCCTTTGCCTGTGTGCAGCTGGTATTTTACTGGAAGACCAAAAATGATGTTAAAAAGCTAATTCACAATCCACAGGACAGAAAATGATTCTCACTGACTTTACTGGAAACGAAAAAAGGTCCTGGAGCATGGCAGTAAGCTTTCATTTCCCAGCTTCAGAAATTGTTCATTCTGTTGTACAATCCCATCAATAAATACAGCAATTGACATCTAAAAATATCTCGGATGCCTTGTTCCCTCTTGTGTGCTTGGTTGGCTTTCCTAGAATTTCACCCCTCATTGCTGCTTAAGAACCTTTTTATAGTGCCTCACCTAAATTTATAGATGATCAACATGTATCATCTTCACTTTGTTCTCCTGAAGCATAACACATCATCTTTCTTGCCTTTGTAACTCACTACTTGTAATTGGTGGCAAATACCAAAATCCAGAAAATGAATGGCTCTCCTCCCCCTGCTTGCTTGGCTGTAAGAAGACCCATATGATTCATTAAAGAGGATTTACTCCCTTTTGACTTATGTAAGCAATAAAACATGACTTAGATCAGCAGGTGTACGGTATTATTTAATTGCCTTAAGACGTACACTCATTTTCCTTTTTGCAACCATAAAGACATGAACTGAAAGAATAAAATTCACTTAATTCATTTTCTTAGGGTGAAAAGCTCTTGTTTGGTGTCATCCAGCACTGGAAGGGGTTTAATTTTCTGAGGGCTTATAGGCTCAACTATCACAACTATTGTGAATCTCAGCTGATACCTGAATTAAATTACATTTAACTCTAAGTCATTCAAAGTAATTTGTTACTAATAGTGGGTTTAACAGCTGTTCATGTAAATAATTGTGAAAGCTTTTAAATTACTGGATTTATTCAAGTCTTTAGATTCTTTTTTAATATTCAAACCAAAATGGATTATAGTCTGTTTATCCTCTTTGTCAAGGTGCCTGCAGAACAAGAAAAATAAAGTCAATCAATTTTGTGTGAAACACATTGTGCATAATGCTCCTATCAACGGTATAAAAATATGTAAGTAAATCCATGTTTCGAGCACAATATGAAGTAGTGAAACAGGAAGCTGCAATTTTTGAGTCAAGTGTATTGCCTAAGAAAATTCTTAATCATATTCTGCAGTTTTTACTCTCCAGGAAAAGAATTTAGTTACATAACTTTCAGTGATGTGGAAAACTTTTTAGCTTCAAGGTAAAGAAAACCAAAACAAACATACAAAGGTTAAAAAAAGGTTATGAGGATTGTCTGCATAAAACATTGCGTTGCATACTTAATAACCCCGTGGATACCTGAGTATTTTCACCTTCTCTCACATGCAAGAACAATAAAAGAAAGTGTTTTTAACACATTATTACAAAGCCAGAGAAAATAAGATTTGTTTGGGGGAAGAAGGGCTACCTATAGGCAGCTAATTTACAGTTGTTCAAAAACCTGGACATCCAGCATGCATATGTACCATGTAACACCACAAAATTTAAAACTCAGCAAGGATTTATTCATCTGTTTTTGTATGCACCCACACAGCAAGTTAAATTCATTACAAAATATACATTAACTATGTTCTTCAGACTTTGCAGGATTCAAGTCTACTTGCATAATTACATCTCAGTAAACCAAGTTCACCCATCTCAATAAGCAGACAGTAGGTTCATAAGCATATAATTATCGGTTTTCATGGTTACTGTACCTCCACCTAAGTCTGCTTCCCCACAACTCCAAAGTTATTTAGATAAAGTCCTCATCACTTTAAACAGGCTTAAAATAAGTAACAAGTAAAAAGTAGAAAAAAAAAAAAATTCGCACAATTCTCAACTTCTTTCACTCCTTAAAGAAAAACAAATGCTATTGCAGAGACTTTTGAGACAAATATTTAAGACAGCTCAAATAAAGCTTAGGTCAGCATTTTCACTTACTTGCGCATCTAGAAAACTACAGTCCACCATGAATTAAAAGTTCTGCTTGGCTTTCATTCCATTTCATTCTGTTAGTAAGAAGACATAGTCTCGCTGAATAAACCTAAACAGTTTGTCTATATTGGGAAGATTTTCCCGTGTTTGAATGTAGCTTTAAAGAATCAAGTAAGCTAACATTACACTGATTATCACTGATGAGCCAGAGTAAAGCAAAGCAAATTGAGGTCATCAGCATGTCAGGTAACCTGACTGTCTTGAATATGCACAATAAGATTTGTAACACAGACCACTTAACCCTAAAAAGGTTCATCTTCTGTATTAGACTTGAATTTTGTGGGCTTTTTTTGTACAGGTTGTCTTTAGGATTTATTTCCACTTTAAATACTCAAAAGTTTTGCATAAGCATTATGTTTTCTGAGATGAATGGGTGGTTTACACGCTAAAAATAGTAAATATCTACTCTTTTGAGGAGGGTGGAGGAGGTGGAGTTGTGATCAAAATACTTACGCTTTTCTCTAATTAGAACAATGAATCAGGATACCTCACTTTTGAAGGGAGGCTAAAGGGTTAACAAAAGGACCTTTGTGAAGCCAACTGTAGATCCAACTTAAATTGCTAGCATTGTGTTTTAGATTAACTTACTAATCATATGAAGTAAACTATAGATAAGAAATTAACACTGTAGGGAATGTGGAAGAGGAGAGATAGTAGCAAACGGCCCATCTTTGTTACAGGCCTTGGAAGGTCTGTAGGAGAACAGAGTCAGGCACTTCTCATATGAGGATAGCCAAGGATGGGGAGCCGGTTGGTACCAGCTGTGTTGTTCTAACAGTGGAATAAGGGGGGTAGAAGCTGGAGTTCACCAAAAGGACAAGGGAGGAAGAGGAGTGGATGAAGTAAACGACCCCTGAAGACCACGGACTCAACTCACTGAGCATGCAGTTGGGAGGGACTTATGGAAATGACCTCTTGAAACTAATTTTAATACGAAGCGGGGACAGGTTATGCCTACGCATAGGTGTATTGGGAAACTTCATGTATATGTAACACTTTGCTACATATAAACAGGGCAAGCTGCCGTGTTGCGGCGTGCACGACTTTGGTGGGACTACCCCCTGTGCTGCCCAGCGCTGAATAAACATACCTACTTTACAATCTTACAGATTGTAGAGTCTGTTTCTGCATGTCATACTGATGTAGCTTTTTCCTGTTAAGAAGTAGTGGTGTTACTATATCAGCAAATACAATTAAAGATGGATTTTTAGAATATTTGGTAATTAGAAAGTAGATGAATCCACCTCAGGCACAACTGCCATAAAATCTCATTATTCACCCTCTTGAAATTTTTGCCACAACAGCATACACTCTTACAGCAGAAACACATTCTTTCTTAGAATAGCAGAATATTGTAAGTATTGAAGCTACTATAAAATAATAATTTTTTCCTTTTAATAGATTAACACTTTTTTTGGACATACTGCATTTAGGATTTGACTTTTCTTTTGATTCTAGCTATTCTCCCACTTAAGTGAACTACTAAGGAAACTAATGTATTTGTTGTCTGAAGCAAAATTGGAACATTAGCATGTTGTGCAGCGTTTACTGCAGAAGCAAAACAGCTGCGGGCATTCTAAACACTCGTAAGGTTACAAAGAAAAAATTGATCTGGAAGCACGGGACCCATTTTTTTAAATCTATGCTAGAACTAACAGGTCAATGTCGTGACTACACATGACATTTTTAAAAGACATCTAAGGCACTGTGCATAGCCTTTTTCCTAGCCTACACAGGCAGAGCCTAAGCAGCATTGTCAAATATAATCATTACAAAATGAAACAAGTTAAAAAAAACCAGAAAACCAACCCAAAACTCAAAAACCTTTGTTTGAAAGTAAATTTTTATTATTAAAAAGGTAAAAGCAAAGGCCAAGGATGTTTTATTTGTCTTCTTATTTGCAAGACAGGAAGAGGTATGAAGACTTTTTGTCTGTGATATTTTCTCACAAATATAGGGTGAGGGTTCCTTGTAAGGGACAGCGTTTTGAGGGAAGGTGAGATGCATGAAGGGACTAAATTAAAATTCAAGTATGACTGTATGACACAGGGCTTCAAAACCCACCACTAACTTGCTAAAATGGTGAAGTGTTGCCAACTCACATGAAGGCACTGTCAGGAAAAAAAAAAAATGGACTGCTGCGAGGCCTACCTACAGACAAAAAAGAGACAGGACTTCCCTTATTGCGAAGCCGCAACTAATCATCGCCTTCAGACAGAACTGCAAAGCAGCAGCAATCTCCAAGCCAGTATGTCACCTTGGGAGCCTGATACAGCCCTTTTCATGTCTGCTTCTGCAACTGGTATTTACACGATCTCGGTGCCCAACAGTGAGTTGCCTGCATGAAAAAACAGAAAAGGGGAGACTGATGAGGAAAGTTGCCTCCCTCCCTCACAACCGCCCAGTCAAAGTCAGATGGTGTGCGTCCGTGCAGGAAGATTTTGCTTCGTCTCAAGAACACTGGCTTGTTTCTCGAACTTCAGAATTTCTGGACCGTTTCAGACAAAAAACCACCTCAAACAACCCACAATTAACTATTCTCACACTCAGCAACCCTTAAGAGATGGGTTTACACACTATTACGTTACTCTTCCCTCAGAGTTTTACACAGATTTGTGCCGTTGTGTTTATGGCTCCCGTTATGATCCAGCAGTAACGTCATCCCCGTCAACCTCTACACAGCCACGCAAAAGTTCTGCGAGGAAACGCTGCCTGAAGTGTCAAAAGGCAAGCGGGTCCCCAGACTAAGCAGTACCAAATGGGATTTAAAAAATATAAAGTCCTCCACGAGAACAGGCCCAGGATAAGAGCTGGCCTATGCTTTAAAAATAAAGAACGACAACACAAACAACAAAAAAAAATAATAGCCGTCACCC